GGTGGAAGAAGTGCAAAATGCTCTTTTTCACCCTCTGTCCACCCAGACTAACGGAAATAATACGATTTATCAACCAGACTGGCATACTAACTGCACAGGTGATCTGAGAAATTCAAGACCCCTGTTCTCCTCCCACCTCTCTTTTGAACAATGAAAAAGCAGACCACTGTGGACATGTCTGAAATGTTAACACAGAGCAGGCAACAAAAACCTAGAAAAAAAGCCCATTACAGTCAAAATCAGAATTCCCAAAGTCTGTGGACCACAGCTCTCCATTCATTCCCATTTAATATAGATACAAATAAGATGATCCTGGAAGCGCTGCATGGGTCACCCTAAGGAAGGGAGACCAGCCCAGCAGCAGGCTCCCCTGCAGGACATGAATTCTTTGCAAATCACACCATCCCTCTGTGCCTCAGTTTTGCTACCAGCAAAATGTAAAACTCAGAATTCCCTTTTTTGTGCAAGTCTTTGTCACAGCTAAAATCTGCCGATGTTTCTTGCAGTAAAATGAGGAGTAAAAACAAATAATTAAAAATAGTGTTTCTGTTAGAACAAAAAAAAAAAAAGACCCTGGCTGCAGAAAAAGGAAAGTGATTTTGAGAAAAAACATATTATGGGGTATGAGAGGGAGGCATCCTGGATCAGAGAGTGGATGGCAGAAAGAGAGAAGAAAGCAAAAAAAGTTTTCCTACCTACACCTTCAGCATTCTTTCCTCTTCACACCTCTCAAAACATGAGTGATCACAGCAGTGGGAGAGATAAATTGCCAAAGCTACTAAGATGCTACAACAGCATTTGAAGGCTGCTGTCCTGCGTCTGTGTTCTGGCACCAACGAGGGAACGCGACCAGCACCAAAGTGACACACAACCGACCTGGTTTCCCCTAGCGTGGCAGCTATGGGTTGTGTAGTGACAGCAGGGGATTTCACCCAGCGCCTCTCTGCGCGTTTGTCTAACACATGGTTTATGCCAGTTTAACCTTAAGAGTAACGCACTGCAGTCGGAGCCCTTTCCCCAGCCTCAGGAATTTGAAACAAGTCGTTGCTTTTGTACAGCACCGTTGCGCAGAGCAGCATCCTGCCTCCCTCCTAAAATCATTATCTCTACCTCGATGAAGCGCTGCCTGCTGGCTAGTGTCAGTCTGTGTGCTGTAGCTAACTTGGTCATACCAAGTATGACAATAGGGCGGCTTCTCCTTGACTCACCAGTTTTGCTCAGAGCACCACGGGAGGGGATGCTGCTTGGTTTTCACTGGTTCCCTCACTCTTGCCCTCAAGGCTGGTTCTGAAGCCTTTTTGGGTCCACTAAAACAGCACAGCCAAGCCCTGTGACAGCGTTGTGTATCCCAGCGCCAGCCTCAAGGCACACAGCACCATTATGCCAGCTCAGCACGTTTCTAGACTACTGCATTTTTATGGATTGATGCATCAGCATGAAAACAAACTTTTATGTCCATCCATGCTGTAAACATGAACAGTTAATACCCATCTCCTTTTGTCTCAACTGATTTGGAGACAGATGACAAAGAATTAGATATGGTTTTATCCCATGTATAATGCATCGTATTTGGGGATTTTTCACTTCAAAGAAGATCAATGGAGCAAGAGAAGTCAAGAGAGAGGTCCAAGATCTTTTGACTCCATAAAGAGTGATCAATTGGATGTTTTGGATTGGACTGCAGCCTAATGAAACTCTTAAAATAAACTAGTATCCATCTCCAATAAATACCTTTTCACATTAAAAGAACTCATTCAAATTCAAGTGTAAAAAAGGCAAAAAGAGCAAGTAGATTTACTTGCATACTTTATTTGCTGCAATAATATTAAAGTGCTGCAATAATATCAAATGTCATTGACAGACCCTTCAGCACTTACCAAAAAACACTTCAGAGACAAGATGATATTCTCTATCAACATTTCCTATAAGCGGTTTCCTTTCCATCATTTTACAATAGTTTGCAGGAAGCACTTGTCACATTTTGAGGCATTGAACTCTAAACTAGAAGGGATATGTTTGTGTTACAAGTTGGGTTTTTTTTGGAGGGGAGGGAAGAGGTCAGTTAACTGGAAACCTAAAGAAGATTCATTACCTTGCTTATAAGTTTCTGGGGTACTAGAAAGGGACATGCACAAAATTCAGGGCAATTTTAGTGTTCACTCTAGATATGTCAAACACTTTCAGTCATAAAACACATAGGCACTCAAAGCCATAAAGTCAAGCCAACCAAAACAAAAGATCTTGTACAGTTGGCAGTCTTTACTCAACAGAGGCTCAGAAAGTAAAAAAAAACCAACAAACAACCCACAAATGTAAAGAATAAATTACCTTTTGTGAAATAAAGTGGGCACAGTGCAAACACACTGCAGAAGTGCCATAAGGGACACTTTCTCCTAAGCTCCATCACCCTCACCTTACAGAAGTACTAAAAGCCTTATCAATAATTTAACAAACTAATGGACATGTTTTTAAACATTGTGGGCTGATGCTTAAAGAAGCACCACGTTGGTAGAGCAAGATGGTGGAAGCGGATAGCTTGTGGCTCTTTATTCTGTGGTTATTTTTCAAGTCAGACAGCACAGTATTTTTGTCAGCAGTACTTTCTTCTGCTAGAGCTCAAGCCTGGAACCGCAAAGCAGCAACATACTGAGGGGCGAACTTCATCTTCAGGTGGTTGCATCAGTTTGTTTTGGAAAGGTCTTCACAGTCAGCAGGACCAAGCCATGCAGATCAGTGACAACAACCTTCCTGAGATACATCTGGGCAATTTGCAACCCTCTTACGCATGAAGGTCCCAAGTTTTGAGATCCAGCACTTCCCACAAACTTAGCTGCTGGGGGCCCTAGTTGCCACCCATCTGAGACACACATTTCCAAGGCTCTAACTCAAAGACCAGGGTGCCAGGACAGCTCACCTGGTTTCCCAGCCATGGCCTGCCCCCAGCAAGGACAGCATACACCTTGACATCTCTAACATATCTAACACACAGTTTAAGCTTCACAGGACTGCAGCCTGAACATCTTCCCCCATACCTGGGTTGTGCAAGGCATCACTCAAACTACATCCAGCTTCCCTTAAGACATAGGGAAGGGAAAAAACCCAAAAGCTTACTGACCTGAGCATGCACCCAGGGTGCTGGAGACCCAGACAACCTGCTACAGCTCTCAAAAGAGGAAGAAGAACATGCTACCTCATGTGCTACAGTCCCATCTCTATTGCCCACACATCAGTTTATAAGCTCACATCCAGCTCCCAGCTGCGCTCTCAGTTCCCATTCCTAATCATCCAGAAAGAGACCCACCTGGCCATAGATATCCATCTGCAGAGCAAGCTATTCACCTGTGAATCAGATGTTTTCACTGCTTCAGACCCCAAAATATGCATGGCTTATACCCCCAGCCCTGCCTGCAGACCTGCATCCCACCTGGGTAACGCCAGTGGCTGAGCAGACTGGCTATTGCTCATGCCAGTCTTCAGGCACCAAGCCCTCCCCAGCCTTTACAAAGCAGCCACCTAACCAAAATCAGGCACAGAAAGGCTCGGAGATAGAGTGCTGAGCCCATGTCCCCCTTCTGAACCCAGTCCAACCTCAAGGCTAACAGATCACTGCCTGTGGTCTTCAAAGATGATGCTTTATTTGCCTTTTCCAGAAATTTCCTGCCTTGCGGCAGGACGGCAAACTGCTGAACTTCCCACCACCATATTCTGGAGTTGGCTGTAACCAACAACATACCTCTAATTTTTCACTTTGCGCCAAGGCCCCCCTGAAACATGATATGGTTATTAAGTGCACTGCCTGACACGCCGTTCTGTTTAATTGCCACGGTCACGTTAGTTAATTTGTGCTTTTTGTGATCTGCTGCATATTATCGATGGTCACCTTCAGAGATGGTGCTGAAAAAGATGAAAATATATGTTGTTGAGTTACCACTAGTATGCAGTGCTGAAAAAGATGAAAAATATATGTTGTTGAGTTACCACTAGTATGTTACTTCTCAATAGCATTGTAATTAAATTCCATGCTCATTGTGCATCCTATCTTAGGCTGAGGTACTGAATAAAACAGTCAACTACTGACAGTTTGATAAAATCTTCATAAAACAAAATAATGACAATCTACAGATAAACCTGGCCTTTGCAGCTGCAAAACTGAGTTTAATCACCTCGGGTAAAGAAAATGCAGGGAAATATATTCTTCACATTATTCTTACAAATTCTCTTTATCACTATGAAAGAAATTATGAGATCTACAAAGCAGCAGCCATGTAAAGGAGAACCACAGTAAGGCTGATGAAAAGGCAGAAGTTATATTGGCTTTGAGGAGAAAACAGTGACAGCGATATTTAGCTGAGATATCATCATTCACAAGGCTTGACATGGTTATATTTCAGAACTTATTCACCTGCTTACAGCCGTGCCGTTTTAACCAAACTAGCCACCCCTGCATTTGGAGGAGACAGGGTATTAGATTTTCAAGTTAATTCCATAAATAGCAGCCCTGAAATTAAGCTTTGCCTACACGTCCGAGGAGCGGAGAGCTGGCGCCTTTGGCAGTGCTGCAGCCCTGGGGACTCCTGACTGAGGGGTCACGTATGCCAGCACCTCCCAGATGCCTGCCCAGGGATGAGGAACAGTGAAGTAAACAGGAGGCATGCAAGAAACAATTTTTATGTTGTTTGTAAAAAGAAGTCAAAACAGAATAAAAAAAAAATCTCTGAAAACATCTCCTGAATGCCAGCCCATGGGGAGCCTGTGAGTGATAACATCCCTTCAGATAAGGGATTTTAAAGAAGTGGCACGTACGTGACAGGTTTGGAGATTTGACCCTTGCAGAGAGGCTAGTGAGGGTGACTACTTTAACATTTTAATCATCTTCTTTTGTTTTAGAGTGAGGGAGAGAGGGTTTAGCAAAGCTCCCGGGAGCCCATGTGCCTCTCCTTCTAGCCAGATGCTGCCATCTCCTGATGTCCAGGGACTGAGAGGTTTCTCTTGTCTCCCAGATCAGCATCTTCATGACCCATTTGTCTAATTATGGGAACGACCGCCTGGGCTTATACACCTTTGAGAACCTGGCTAACTTTGTTAAGAGCTCGACTAACCTGAAACTGCAGACGCTACCCCCAGTTCAGCTGGCTCAGAAGTACTTTGAGCTCTTCCCGGAGCAGACGGACCCCCTTTGGCAGGTAATGTCACATCCTCTTCCTCCTTCAATTACAATCCGCTTGTCGAAATAAGAATCTTTTCCTGTAAAAAGAAATAAACTGAAAAAATCCCACTTCACATTCAGATATGTTATCTCTTCCTGCACGCTGCCTTAGATTATTTACATTTTCTTGAGGGACCACTGCGTTTGACTAGAAGTGGATTAGCTTCCACTCACCCCAAATCAGGCATGGTAAAAGCACCTAATTGCCGTTTGGGTGAGAGAAAGCTTCCCTTCCCGTCCCTCCTGTCTGTAGTTCTGCTGTTGCATCGCCTCGTGGTAACTAATTGTGTTGCAATTTGGGTGAGAGAAAGCTTCCCTTCCTGTCCCTCCTGTCTGTAGTTCTGCTGATGCATCGCCTCGTGGTAACTAATTGTGTTGCACCGTGGGTAGGATGCCCGCAGCCAGCCGGTACCGAGAGCTCTCCCAAGGCGAACGATGCAGGTTCATTGCACCCCTTAACTGGGAACCACTACTGTGGGATCACTGCAGCTACAAGGAGCATTTCCCACCATCTGAAGCCCCTTCAATGAAACAGCGAGGAGAAGGGAGGGCAGGAGGGGTCAGCGCAGCAAACACAGAAGGGCAGCTCTTCTAAGAATGGAAAAGGGTTTCTGCACAGACAGACTATTTTCTGTCTCTGTTTCAAACGCACAATGGCGCTGCCTGTAATCTCAGCATTGTGATTTCCTAATCATTGTTGCACGTATCTCGCTCTTCTCTTGTTCAGAATGCGATGTGCCACGCTGTGCTCTTAGCTATGCAGGCATAAATCCCGAGTGACACCATGGAGATTATTTCAAGCTTACACTGGCAAAAAGGAGCTGAAAATGTCCCTATTATTTTTGGCCCAGATGCAAAAGAAGTAGAAATCTCTAATATTGCCATTGAGTTTAGTGGAGCTGCAGCAATTCACATCAGTTAATGATTTTCTCCATTAAATTTTGTTAACTTTATTCACTAGCAAACTGTATCTTCTATTACCATCCAATACTACACAAAAGCAGTATCTATATGATAACTGCCTTAAACAGCAATCAGCCCTAACCTTTTCTGCAGGGTCTTTTGTTCACACGTTTTTATTTTGCATTCATAGGTAGTAGAAAGATAAGGAGATGAATAATATCCCACATTTCTATTTTGTCCTTCCTTTTGGATTCCTGTGTAAATTAAAATTGGCACTAAGTCCTATGCATCTGAAACCATTTTGTCACCTAAGAAAGTAATGCCTTGAAGCTATTCAAACAGAGGTTTCCATTTTAACCTCAAATGAAAATGTGATTAAATCAATGTTTTAATCTTTTTTTCTTCTTTTTCTTTTCTAATGACTGAACTTAATCCTCAGTCATGCAAAACCATTATATACATATTGAATTTTAGTCAAAGGGACCACATACGTGCCTACCTACGTGCCTGTGGGCTCTGAGTTTATGAAATGAGCCTGAATAATGGAGAGAAGGAAATACAGTAGGCTCACAGGGTGTGGATTTTAACACCAGCCTTCCAGGATTTGCACAACTGTGTAGCGTTACTGACCTCACTGGGACCCCTGGAAGCATTGGTCCTGAATGCTACCTAGGAATTTGGTCCCTGTGTACCTGAATGCTTCCATGGATCTGTACCAGAGTGCTCAATGTCTGTCAAAGGTAAACTCTTAGGAGGAAACGTGGGATTTTACTACTTAGTGTAAGGCTCTGGTGTTAGTGCATAACATTTAGATCCTTCAAAGGCTCACGTGCATGCAAACACTTAGGATACCCCCAGTGTGATGTACACCACTGCCTCTTCTTCTTCAGAATCCGTGTGATGATAAACGACACAGGGATATTTGGTCCAGAGACAAAACTTGTGACCACCTACCCAAATTTCTTGTGATAGGACCTCAGAAAACAGGTAAGAAGTAATGAATTTGTAACCAAAGCTAAGCCCCTCTGTTTTGCATCTGTGTATCTGTGTCCTGTAAACCGAAGCCAACTCCCTGCTACAGAGATGGCGCACCCCCAGTCCCTGTGGGATTCGGATGGGAACTCCTTCAGTGCCAACAGAAAGGGACAACTGTTCGCATAGTAAAATTGCATTCATTCACCATAAAAAAAAAACCCATGCTGTCAGGCTGCCTTATGTTAAGTTTGTTATTAAGTTCTTTGAAAAATGTTTTCAACATTGTTTGAGACCCTAATTGGCAATAAATGTATCTACCACCTTGCAGGCCTCTGAGGGTCTTAGGGCATTATTCGAATTAAGCCACATATTCCCACTCCCAAGACAGCTATTACTGTTGTGGACGTATTACAGAAAGTGGATGCTGAGGAAGGGAAATAAATGACTAATGTGAGATCATATAGTAATTCTGCAACAGTGATAAAGAGACAGAAGGTCTTCATTCATGGTCCAGTGACAGCTTGCGTAGCATAAAACCATTGAAGAGCAATTTTAAAGACACATTCTCCAAAATTCATTTACAGACATATATTATTTCCAAGTTTTTTTGTCAAACAAATAACAAAAAATTACTGTTACTGGGATTTTAAAGCATCCTTCTTACATGCAGGTTTGTTGGCATTGAAATAGACAATGTCACTTGAAAGAGCTTTTATTCCTCAATAGCAGACCCCCGGGAAAATTACACAGAGGACAAAAGCATGGTTCTGGCAGGAACAAAAGCATAATCCCACAATTAGTGCTTTTGAAAAGTTTCGTGCAACAGAAATAGTTTAAAAACAAACGTGTTCAGGTCAAATTTCCTCACTGGTTAAATACACAGTCAAGCAAGCGATGTCATCAACAGCAATATCGTGCTTGCATCAGAGAGCAGAATTCAGAGTTTGGAAATGGGAAAAGTTCAATGAGCAGAGGAGTCTGCACATATTTCCGCTTCCTCTGAAAGCCCCTCACTCTTACATAGGCCTTTCATCAACAGGCAACTTTCTTATAAAAGGTAAGCTTTCTAATTTTCCTGTCTGTCTCAGCGTGCATTGATTTAAAGTACTTTCTTGAATGAATGAAGTCAAAGGGTCTTTTTCTGTTTCCTAATGGCATCTCTTTTTGTTGTCATAGGAACAACAGCGCTTTATTTATTTCTTCTGATGCATCCTTCCATTATCAGTAATCTCCCCAGTCCAAAAACTTTTGAAGAAGTTCAGTTCTTCAACGGAAACAACTATCACAAGGGAATTGACTGGTAAGAAGAATAGGAAAATAGAAGTGTTCATTATTAATACATGGTAAAACACAATGGAACAATTACAGAAGCATGTATGACATCGGCATAATTACTGGATGAATTTGTTATGCTTGGCATTGTCAGACCGAAAGAGAAACTAATTTGTAATGACGGGACATTTAATCAAGTCCTTAATTTTGTTTAGATATTGCAGTAACAATTTTCCTATTTTTTTCATAAACGAATACAATAGCCAGCTCAGTTACGATGGCTGTCTTCATGCTGAATAGCATCTCTGTCTTTTCATAACTGTATCTATACTGAATTATACTCTTTTTCTTCAAAAGCAGCTTTTCACAAAGTAAGGTTTGATTCTTCTCTTCAGGAGACAAAAAAACACTGTACAGCATTTTAGCTGGTATTCCTATCACACTTTCAAATACTGCTTTTCCTATTTTTGCTTAGGAAAAGCATTTTTGTAAGGCTTTCATTTCCACAGGGAACAGCAGTTCCCATCCTTGTGTTAAAAACTGAAATACAGGACAAACATCCCACTGCACAGAAACAGAGTCGTCTTGAGGGGTTTTCCTTGCCCGCGTACGGCATGGAGAGCGTGCGGAGCAAACGAGGCTGACCGCTAAAACCAGACTGTCCCCGCAGCTCCGAGAGCAGCTTCTCGGTTCAAAGGTGTCACAAAAAATAAAGGGAACGAAATGCTTGGCGTTTGCTTTTCCATACTGTGCAAAGGACGAGATCACCCATGGCTATCGCACAGTACCTGGTGTAATACATTCGGAGAGGAAGGAGCGGTGATGGGGGTGGGCTCTCCTCTGCAGCACTTTGCATGACATGTAGAGGTAGAGGCTGGCCTCTCAGAGACCTCTTCTGCCACGCTTCACCAAAACTGGCCTGCAGGTTCAGACGTCAGGAGGGTCCTGCGTGCAGGGTGAGGCCCCGCGTACTTCGTTTCCTTAGAAAGAACATGGAAAACAATTAGTCTCACTAAAACTGGAAGTTCCGAGGGTGCTTAGCAAAACTAAAGGGAACGAGAAATGTCTTCAAAACAATTTCACCTTCTGCTTAATTTGAATTCTTCACCCTTTCAGTTGAACCTTCTGTTTTACTTACTTTTACTTCCAGTCAATTTTAAGTGGAAAAAAACATTCAAAGCCAAAATTCAAATCTTGCATTCTGAAAACGTCTAAAAGAAAAGATTTGTCAGTTCCAAAATGACATATTTCAACAATGTTAAAATTAAATGGTTGACATTTTGAAGCTTTTCCCATTTTTTTCTGCAGCTAAAAGTGAACTCACTCCAAACTGGTGAAAGATATCCCTTTGACATTGAACTTATTAGCAAAAAATCCCATCCATCAGAGGGAAAACCTAATTACCTGACTTCACGGAGGCTTTAGCTATTACCAGCACCATGTAAGAGCCAAGATGTGTTCCCTGTATTCCAGTTCTGGAGTGAGCTGAGAAATTCAATTTTGCTTCTTGAGAATTATGTCTGAAAATGCACCTTTTCACTTACCATGAAATGGGAAGCACAGGGAAATGACTCTTTTGTCTTACTGCTAATTCTAACGAGTTTCTTCACCTCGCAGGTACATGGATTTCTTCCCCACTCCTTCTAACATCACCACCGACCTCCTCTTCGAGAAAAGTGCCAACTATTTCCATTCTGAGGAAGCCCCTAAACGAGCTGCTTCCCTCATCCCCAAGGCCAAGATCATCACCATCCTCATCGACCCATCCGATCGGGCATATTCCTGGTACCAGGTACAGACCTTGCCTTTCAGAAACAGACAGTGAATCAATAGCAGGGGATGATGGCCAACATCAGTGGGAATTTGTGTCCTTGAGCAAGAAAGGGATTCATTGCAAAGCATTTGCACTCTGTAGATGTGGAAGGATGGCGAGTGCCAGCTTTTGCAGTTGGCACCTGTGACACCAGTGTCATAAATGATGAAACTTCTCAGCACAGAGCTGCCAACAGCTGTAAACAAACAGTTTAATCTCAGTTACAGCTGACACTGCACAGAGGAAAAGCAGTGCTCCTCGCCCAGGGAGACACATGGGGGAAAATGAGCATGGTCTAGCTGGAAAATCAGAGCTCTTGATGCTGAGAATCTGTTACCTCATCCCATCCTCCAGCGTGTAAGCTGAGCAATATGTGTACAAATGTATGCAGTGTCTTCTAAAGTTTCCGAGGAGTTAAAAAGAGCTGTATCTGGAGAGCTGTTTTTTTTTTTTCTCTCCTTGGGAACAAAAGAAAGCCTGTTGTGTTTCTGAGGAAACGCTGAGATGCTCTTTCTTGCCTTTTACTGAGCCCACACCTTTCCCTAACAAAGTCTGCGCTATTTTAAAAAAACTATTTTTAAAGAGATACTTAATCATGCATGTAAAATACGGTGTAGTCTTACAAAGAAAATACTAGGAGCAGTGTGAAAACAGACACAAATTAATAGTGTTGCAATGAGCATAAAATACACCATTTCTGATACTGTTTTTATGAGTTCTGCAAGGAATAAAACATGACCTCGGGCTGCAGTTTGCACCCTTTTTGATATCTCATTTGCACCTTTACAACTGCTGATGCAAAATACAAAGCAGTGAAAAAAAAAAGGGCCTACTTTGGCAGAATTTGTCCCCTCAGCTCCCCCCTCGCCTGTCCCAGGAGGACCCTTTGACCGAGCGATGGCCTCATCCTGCTTCCTGGCCCCCCTGCTCCTACCCAGCAGCAGTGGCACTGGTGGGGAGCTGAGGGACTGCCATGGGCTGTGGCTGGGGGGGGCCCCCCCGGCCAGCTCTCGGGAGGCTCACGGCTTAATCTTCACCATCCTTGTGATACGTGTCTAAATATCTCCCGTCAGCATCAGCGATCCCACGAGGACCCTGCTGCCCTGAAATTCAATTTTTACGAAATCATTACATCCAGCCATTGGGCACCCTCAGAGATAAGGACTCTCCAGAGGAGATGCCTGACACCCGGATGGTATGCTGTCCATATCGAAAGATGGTTGACTCATTACCCTGCTTCACAGGTAATTTCCAACCTCTTGTTTCACCAAGCTCATTGACCTTTGGAAAGTCCCAAAATGAGTATGGCCTTGTCATTGGAGGTGATGGGATATGTCCCTCTGGAACTCTCTGCTGTTAGGAAACGCAGATTTGACAATATCAGGATATTTGGCAGAAGTGTGTTGATCTTTCTGTCTTCTAATGGAAAAGGTGCAACGGGAAAATGCCATGAACTGTGGCCACATGGGCGTGATCGGGGACTTTAGGGTTTCCTTCTAGGATCAGCCAAGGTTGTCACGGCTTCTGGGTCCCAAGAAACAAGCAGCTGCAGCATGAGACATTGTGGGAAGGTTTGATAAAGTCATTTAGAAAATGCCAGGTCTTTTTCTAAAAAGAAATTTCATTCCACTTCCCACTCACTCCCTTTCATAGAAAATTTCACATTTGTTTGATCCTGATATGGAATTAGCCTTTCTCAGTGTTAGAACAGAAATTCCTTCTTTTGCCCCATCTTCCTTCAGATGTTTTATTGAATTATCTTTTATAATCCTTCTCATGCAAAATTTACATAAACATATAGACCTAAAGAATGTTCCCATTACTAAAAAAAATTGTTTACTGATTTAAACGTAAAGCAAACATTTTAGTAGTAAAAAATACATGCACGGGCACTCTTTACCCATAGATGTGGCCCATAGCTCAGTTGATATGTGTACCTGCTGTAAGAAAAAGTTGTAAAAGGGCATTTAATGATGAAGCATAAAGAACAAGTATCTCCAGAGATTGCTGTATGTGGGGCAGGATTTTGCTGAAAGGAGGTAGAACAGGGACCTGGAAAAACAAAAAGAAATAGCAGCTCTGTCTTTTTGCAGTCCTCACTTTTCTTTGTATATAGTCTCAGCTGTACTACAAAGAGGAGAAGCAGGTCAATCCCATCTCCAGGAGAAAGGAGGAAGTCTCAGTTAGTCATTTACTTTCTTCCTTCACCTCTGGCCTTTCTACTTTTTCATAAACGGGGGAGAAGTACTGCCTAAAGCAGCCGAGCTTGCAGCAAGGGCCGTGCCCAGGCAGTACTGCCCCAGGAGCAAACGGGGCATGTCTCCTCATCGGCCACCACCTCCCAACTCATTCCTCTGAAGGAGAAGGGGCTGTGCAGGCAAATTTGGAGCATGCAAAGGGTGTCGAACATCCCGTGCCCTGGTACGCCCGCTCCTTCTCTGCCCTCACCCGGGGCTGCTGCCCCCTCTCATAAGGATTTCTCTCCTTCTCCCGCCGTAGCGAAGAGGGAGCGCAGCCCGCTTATGAAAGATTCAGGGGCACGTTGACATCTTTCTTGTAAAACCGGTTACCGCTCATGTTTCATAGTTACAGTGATTAATTTTACAAGATACACAACAAAATGCACTCATTCTTAATAAGGTACACAGAGAGAGTGCACTCACGGTGCTTGCTAATGGGCACTCAGGAATGTGCATTCACTCAGCCTGTGCACTCAAAAACTTAATAATTCATAATAAGCCTTCACAATAAATATAAAACATATCTGCCCAGAATAGTTATTAGTAATGCTGCTGGGTACTCCAGCAGACTTTTGATACATTGTCTTAACATTTGCTTGTGGAGGTCAATATACCTTTACATCACATCAATCTTTAATTAAAAACAAAACAAAACAAAAAAACCTTTGCTAACACTTTTGCAAGCCTATGTGGCGGATAGGTTGTGGTAAGTTTCAAATAAATTGCCACAGTATCACTTTTGAACATGTAATTGTATAGCTTCTGAACATTTAATTCTAAGACATATTTGAGCTTTTTGTTATTTTTCTTATTCCATGCTAGATTTTCTATGGACACATTGTAAACCCCAATAATATTTTTACATTCCTTCCTATCTCCTTTTCTCAGAATTCTCTGAGACTCTGGTTCAGCTTGCCAGATTTAACTCTTTCATTTGAACCATATGCACACACAGAGTTACATGGTGCCCACCTATAGGAATTCAGCATAATAAAGTGAAAAGGGAATCTAAAAAGAATTTCATCCATATGATTGTTATTAGCGCTGTACAAAGTCACATGCTAATTTAAATCCATGTTGTCACAGAAAGGAAATGATGTCATTCTTTCATTAACCTTAGTCCTGTCTCTAAATAGTGAGCATATTTACCTCTACAGTTGCTTATTATTGATGGACAGCAGCTAAGAAGTGACCCAGCTACTGTGATGGATGAAGTGCAGAAGTTTCTTGGAGTCTCTCCTCATTATAACTACTCTGAAGCTCTAACGTGAGTCTGTTCCTTTATTATCTGCCTTATGGGATCATGCTGTACATCCCTTCCTACCGAGATCACTTAATCATTAATTACAAACAAACAACACGTTACAACAATGATAATTTTTCAAAGCTTGGGGTTTTCTTAAAGTCATGTTTAAGATCCATCCAGTTTTCCCTTAACTTGCACATATACAATACATTACAGAACTTAGGTGCATGACTGCAGACATTTCTACACACAGCCTCTACTCTGCACAACATACAGAACAAACAACTGCTCAGCATTTCGTATTAGACACAGAACAAAGTAAAAAATGGCTGCTAAGTTTGAGTGTTCGATCGGAGATGCCCGGGACTTGTTTTCTCAGGGTACCAAGTTTTGCTTTTATCTCTGCGCTGTTTAAAATGCGCGTTCAGTTGATGTGAGTCGTGCACGTAGGAGCTCAGCCCACATTTGCCACTGTTGAACCTTTTAACAGTCTCCAGAAGCTGAAGATCACTTAGTGTCAGGTGTGAAAACTTTGGCTTAAACGTTTTTATCACATTCATATGGGAGTCAAAGGACAAGATTGGGTTAGAAGCACTCAGTATGATAAGATTCATCTGGTCGCATAATTTCTTTGATTGCTTGCTTTTAACAGGGACCAAATATATCATTCCCTAATCCCGTTTTCATATATCGTTGAGCCAATTCTGCCAACCTTTTACCTGGTAGTAGCCAGACACGTGGCATAAAAGAATTTCATCTGTACACTTAAAGTTTGGTAAAATTATAAGCTACTAATAGTAGACGCCCAACCTGGAAACACTGGGCTCACACGCAGCACCTGGAGCACGGGAAGAAGCTCATATTTGCCTCTGAAGCACAACACCCTCAGACTGAGCAGCCTGACTGTTCATGGCCTGGGGTGTCAGTGCCAAAACTGCAGGTGCTGTGCAGGAGCCCAAATCCAGGTCCCCTGAAATTAGGGAAAGCCCTTCGACCAACTTCCCGACAGCCTTTGGTTCTGATCTAGCAAAGGCAGCTGTGATGAGCCCGGATCACATTTCTCATCCTCGCTACCCGGAGAGCGAGGCTTTCCCATGAAAGAAGATTAATGGCCTCTGTGGCGCTCTCTTTGACATTTCTCAATTCCCTGCAGGAAGGCAGAGTCTCTGCAGGGGCGGGAGTGGGCTGAATTTCTCTCTCCCTTCTTAGTTCAGCAGAAAATTGTAAGAATCTTTCACGCTGAGCCTCTCTGTATGAGGAGCATCATCTCATTACAGCCATGAGCGCTGGGCTGGGAGAGCCCTGGGACATCCGTGGGCTGAGAAGCCTGGCCCTGCGGCGGAGGTTTTTCCAAGTCAGTGTGCAAGCAGAGAGCACGAGCCCACACGGGGGGTGGGAATTAGAAAAGCCTGCATCCCCACCTTCCCCTGGCTGGTACCAGGAAAACTGTGGGAAAATGTGACCACAGACTTTCCACCATCCCCACACTGCCTCCTCTCTGCTTATGATTATTCTTTAATGTTTCCTCCACTGGGAAGATTATGGTCTTTTATATAATAGGTACAAAGTGAGAGTGGAGCACTTGTTCTTTGAGTCTTCCAAATGTTACTCTGCCAAAATCTTTTTCTAGAGGAAAAATTTTGGATTTCAGAATGTAGTTTTTTAAGTCATTGGTTTCCAAAGTGGATGAAGTAGAAGAGGAGTTTGAATACACAGCTGAACTACTGATGTTTGAACAACTGCTGCTGCACATCTGCAGTGCCTTCTGCTAGGTTTTTAAAAATACACACCCACGTACATATATCTTCCTTTCTGTAACTAAATTAAAGTCAGCGGAGTCACACACCAGGAAAAAATTTGGCCTCTCATACTTGTTTGGACAGAAAAAATGGATTGTAAACAGATCTATAAAATTATGCAATCACTGTTTAGAGGCATCAAGAATGCAAATGCGCTGTGGAAGCACGCGTTTCTGTACGGATTTAGGACGGAAGAGAAAAATGCATTAAAACAATGGAGTTGCTTTATGGTAGGACTGTCAAAGTAAAAAAGATTGCATAGGATCGTTCCTAGTCCTTACTGCCTAACAACTGTATACCACACATTTTTAAAGTTGTCACAAAGCAGCCTAAGGACCTAGTCCTGCAAACAATAGCGAGCAACAAGTTTCATCACCCTGAATAATTATGTGAACATCTTATAGGAGAGTAAAATCAACGCAGGCAGAAGGAAGGTGCTGATCAGAG